TGGAGAGATAACTCAGCAGTTAAGAGCACTGGCTGCTCTTGCAGAGGACCTAGTTCAATTCCTAGCACCCACGTGGCTTCTGTAACGTTCCAGGGGAATATGACGCCCTCTACTGACCTCTGTGAGCATTGCATTACACAGGTACACCTACATACATGTAGGCAATACATTCATACACTAAAATAAAAAGTAACATATTTTAAAAAATAAAAATAGGGGGCTGGAGAGATAACTCAGTGGTTAAGAACACTGGCTACTCTTCCAGATGACCTGGGTTCAATTCCCAGCACCCACATGGTGGCTAACAATTGTCCATAACTCTAGTTCCAGGGGCTCTGGTGCCTTCTCTGACCTCTGCTGGCATTGCATGACATGAATGCACTTATATAAATGCAGGCAATACACTCCTGTGCATAAAATAAAAATAAATAAAATATTTTTAAAATAAAAATAAAGGGACTAGAGAGATGACTTAGCAGTGAACACTGGCTGCTCTTGCAAAAGACCTAGGTTCAAATCCCAGCATCCACATAGTGCTAACAACTCTCCTAAAGTCTAGTTCCAGGGGATCCAACACCCTCTTCTGTCCTCCTCAGGCATTGTATGATATGGGTGCACTTACATATATACAGGCATAACACTCATACACATAAAAATAAATAAATAAATAAATAAATAAATAAATAAATAAATATACGTTTCTTTTTAAGGACGTATGCTGAGGTTTACACGGGTAAATCAACAAGATGCCAAAGATTTGCTTCAAAATATTTCAGGAAAAATGTTAGATCAAGCAACAATACTATTTGGAAGTTTATGAGTTTGTTGTTGGTTTATCTTGGGACCTTAGAGATTGAACCACATGCCTTGCAAATACTAGGAAGTGCTCTCTCACTGGCCTATATCCCTAGCCTTGACAAAAATTTTTACTAGTAATTTATAATCATGAATAATACATTGAGCACCAGTAAAACAAGTGTGCTTTGAGAAACAGACACACACAGATATACACACACAGACACACACATGGGGAGAAGGGGAAAGAGAGAGAGAGAGAGAGAGAGAGAGAGAGAGAGAGAGAGAGAGAGAATGGAAAGGTTTGGCTTGTTAGCACTCACTTAAAACAAATCAAGTGTTTCTCTGAGTAATTGAAGATAGGTCTGTTTTTCCTTTATATTTCAACATAATCAAACCTAAAAGAACTTCTTTAGGACAGGAATAGGCAGTTCACACACACACAAAAATATTTATGGCTTTCAAAAAATATTATTCCTTGGAAAATCCATTCATTTTGAAGAAGTTTTAATGGCCGCTGACCTCAGATTTATAACATGGAGCAAAGTGGGACTGAATTCTCCCTAGAGCTCTGACTCTCACATAACCAAGCTTGAAGCACCACCATAGCAATTTCAGAAATTTAATAAGTTTTCTGATCTACCTCAAATTTGCAGAATCAAGTGAGCCTTGGGGCCAGTAATCTTCTTCTAATGCCCCAAAGGGTGATCCTGACATTTGGAATGAGAGCCACCATTCCAAGCACAGGCAAGTTCAATAAGATGACACATATATTCTGCAGGCCTCTGAGTAGATCATGTAGTGCCATGCAGAAGGAAAATGCTGAATGACTGATTGCTCTCATTTACTAGATGACGAGTTTACCCAATGGCGATGTCTCACATCCCTCCCTGTGAGCATTTTCAGCTGTATAGCTTGGTTGACATGTATGGTTAGCAATTGTCTTTTAATTCAGATCTGGCCAGAAGTTAATGTTCTCAAAGCATTTGAAATCTGGTTGCCAATTTGTGTGCGTTTAGCATGGAACCACCTCATTCATGCAACCAATTGCAGCCCTTGACTTGACAGGCTGGACCAGGAGCACTGTCCCCTGAGTGTTATTAAGTGTTAGCTGTAGAGTATTTGGCGGAGTCTGCTAGCCTCAAGAGACTGAATTCAATCCATTCCTTGGCAGCCCCCACTTGGGCATTTCTATTTTTTCAACTAATTGGTCTATGCATTATTTGAGAATCAGAGGCAAAGAAATTAGCGAAGTCTGTGCCTTCAATGGAAGCGTGGTCTCTCTTGGTCTGAGAGGAGTTTTCTTTTTTTGTTGCTCTGCAAGAAAAATATCATATTGTGTGAAGAAATTAGAACTCCATTTGAAAAATAAAATACACATAAAATAATCAATTGATTTCTAACTACCAGGTGAATATGGAAAAAAGAATCTTACGCCAGAAAATTTTATAGACTTTTGAAGCTAGCTCTGAACAGGCTGAGTGAGGTCACTAGAGGGTCCAAGGAATCAAGTCTCTACCTTGAAGAAGAACCAGCTTGGACCAACTCTATAGACTATTAGACCTATTTTATAGGTCTAATAAGTTGGAGTTATAAATTCTTCAAAGTACAATTTTGTTTTTGAGTAAATAGCATTCTACAGCACAGGTTGAAGAGTGTTGATCTTAGAACCTGACAGTACAAATTAAACCTCAGTTTAACACTTAATTTCTGTTGAACTGCACCAGATTTCTTATCCTCTGATCTTCCATTTCCTCATTTCTAAAAAAAGACTAACACCGAGTTTTCAGAGGCTGTATGAAATTTTATGCATAGACAAAGTTCCATTTTTGCAAACATTACTTGCCCTGCACATTACTGGCAAATAGTGAAATAATGGTGACATGGAGTCCCATTGGACTTCGTCAGCCTGTTAACAGTTACCTCCATGATAACAGTGCACCTGCACAGCTGATTGAGGAGGTTCACAAGGTGTACCTCCACAGCTGATCATGGTTACTACTGTTTATGAGGCCATCCACCATCCACCTCTTTATTTCTTTGTCCTGAAAATTTATCACATGGCTTTCCCCAAACATTGTATGTTTTGCTCTTACCACCCTGACTCATCAACCTCCACACTCACATCCTAACTCATCAACCTCCACACTCACTTACACCCTAACTCATCAACCTCCACACTCACATCCTAACTCATCAACCTCCACACTCACATCCTAACTCATCAACCTCCACACTCACTTACACCCTAACTCATCAGCCTTCACACTCACTTACACCCTAACTCATCAACCTCCACACTCACTTACACCCTAACTCATCAGCCTTCACACTCACTTACACCCTAACTCATCAACCTCCACACTCACTTACACCCTAACTCATCAGCCTTCACACTCACTTACACCCTAACTCATCAACCTCCACACTCACTTACACCCTAACTCATCAGCCTTCACACTCACTTACACCCTAACTCATCAACCTCCACACTCACTTACACCCTAACTCATCAGCCTTCACACTCACTTACACCCTAACTCATCAACCTCCACACTCACTTACACCCTAACTCATCAGCCTTCACACTCACTTACACCCTAACTCATCAACCTCCACACTCACTTACACCCTAACTCATCAGCCTTCACACTCACTTACACCCTAACTCATCAACCTCCACACTCACTTACACCCTAACTCATCAGCCTTCACACTCACTTACACCCTAACTCATCAACCTCCACACTCACTTACACCCTAACTCATCAGCCTTCACACTCACTTACACCCTAACTCATCAACCTCCACACTCACTTACACCCTAACTCATCAGCCTTCACACTCACTTACACCCTAACTCATCAACCTCCACACTCACTTACACCCTAACTCATCAGCCTTCACACTCACTTACACCCTAACTCATCAACCTCCACACTCACTTACACCCTAACTCATCAGCCTTCACACTCACATCCTAACTCATCAACCTCCACACTCACTTACACCCTAACTCATCAACCTTCACACTCACTTACATCCTAACTCATCAACCTCCACACTCACATCCTAACTCATCAACCTTCACACTCACTTACAACCTAACTCATCAACCTCCACATTCACTTACACCCTAACTCATCAGCCTTCACACTCACTTACACCCTAACTCATCAACCTCCACATTCACATCCTAACTCATCAACCTTCACACTCACTTACACCCTAACTCATCAACCTCCACATTCACTTACACCCTAACTCATCAGCCTTCACACTCACTTACACCCTAACTCATCAACCTCCACACTCACTTACATCCTAACTCATCAACCTCCACAATCACTTATATCCTAACTCATCAACCTCCACAGTCCCTTAGACCCCAATTTATCAATCCCCACAGTCCCTTCCTTCTGAGTGCATTTTCTTTCTAAGAAAAACTTCCAAGGTTGAGCAAGAAAGTGCCCTTCTATTCTAGAGTCTGGGGGGTTAGGGGGTTAGTCTCTCGTGTGGTTTTGTTTTGTAGGTCTCACTGCCACAGGGTTAACTCCAAGTATAGGCAAATTCAGCACATAAATTCTTTCAGCCTCTGAGTAGATGAGTTAATGCCATACAGAAGGCAAATGTTGGATGACTGATTGTTCTCATTTCTAGATGATGTGCTTGCCCAAGAGTGATGCCTCACAACCCTCCCTGTGAACACTTTCAGTTCCATTTTGGCTTCTGAACTTCTAACTCTTTGTCTTTGGAGGAATCACTCCTACTCCTTATGAACTTGAGGAGGGCACAGACTACTTCTGAAGACAAAATCTAACATGCTTGCTACTTATTTCCCCAGCCAGGATGGAGGCTGTGCCACAGGCTCTTCTTGACAGAGGTACCTACGGCAGCCTGGAAACTCGTGGCACCAAAGCCAGTGGGCTTGGAGAGCCTTGCCATTTCTGTAGCAATGGGTTAGTACTTTATTCCCCAGATGGTTTGGGTCAGAGCTTCAGGTGCTCTTTCCTGTTTAGTTCAGAGCTCAGTTTCTGGGCTTTATGATGATTCATGAACAGTTCTCTGTCCTTCATAAAACTTTCTCCATTCATCCATAAGTGACCTCAGTTGCT